TATTACTATTGCTATTATTACTATTATTATTATTATTATTATTATTACTATTTGATAATATTAGTTGCTGTTTCGTTTTATTTGTCCACCAGTTTTGAAAGGTCTCTAAAAGGCTATAACGGAAGAGCAGCGTACGAACATATGATCTAGGGAGTGTGTATCAGCTAAGCATTGAGGACATACATCGTCAGAAATTTTGGCTTTGAAAGGTGACATTTTAGTTGCGAGAATGTTGTGTATAGTCTTGTATTGAAACATTGTTATTTTAATGTCGTACTTGATCTGAAAAGGTAATTCGTACACTTTTGGGACGGTTTCGGGGAAAGAAACCATGTTTTAAGATCTTAGTTTCAGCAGTAGGTGGTACGAAGACTTTCTTCAATAGCAAGTTGTACACATATTAATTCAGGTGGATTTGTACTTTTGTAGAATGCTTTTGTAGAATACCGGTTTCCCATTAATTAAAATGTTTCGAACCTACGTGTCATTGCGTGTAGAACTCGAAAATTTCAAACAAAAATACATTGATGTCGAGGGTTTAAATCTGAGATGGGATCTGATTAAAATGGAGATTAGAGGTTTTACCGTGAAAAATTCCAAAAACAAATCTAGAGAAATAAAAGCCACAGAAACTATTCTCCAGAACCGCATTAATGATCTGTATAAAAGAGCTGAAGCAGAACCAAATAACAAACATATAATCTGTGAAATTCAAAACAGCAGACTACGCCTAAAGAAGATTATGCAATGCAAGGCTAAAGGTGCAATTCTAAGAAGTAAGGTGAGGTGGTACGAAGTGCGACGAACGCAACACCCGTTATTCCTATAACCTTGAGAAAAGAAGTTATGAAAAAAAGACAATTGCAAAACTAAAACGCTTAAACGGTACCGTCACAAATGATCAATTCGAGATTCTGCGAGAGCAAATGGAATATTATAAAGCTTTATACACTTCGGCCACGCACCCTGAAAACTCAAACGATACAGCCTCTGCTTTCTTCGAAAACATTACTTCTTTAGAAAATATGGACAAGCAAATGTGTGAAGGAAAGATCTCCGCCGAAGAGTGCCTAATGATTTCCAAAACGGAAAATCGCCCGGAACAGATGGATTACCAGCAGAGTTTTCTAAATTCTTTTTTGGAGAGAATTGCATCTTGACATGATAAATAGTTTTAACTTTGCTTTTGATATAGGCCCTCGTTTGAATTTGTGTGATAATTTATAGACGGCGGATAGTAAGAGTAAAAAGTAGTAGACTGAGTAGATATACCCGCAAAAATGACGTACGTTTGTGAGATTGGTGGCTCTTTTCATCCCGGGATATGTTAAAAACTTTAATTTGATAAATTATGCAGTTTTATTTGAACCGAGGGTACGTCCCAAAAGGCTCGATCTCCAGTAGACTCTGTGAGCTTTCGTTCCCTGCTACACAACGCGCACGTTTGAGTGATGACAACTGGGATCTCAAAACGGCTGGAGATCTAGTCTAGCGTTGCTGTAGCTCAGTAACTCAGACGTGGAGAACTGAGTTTCAGAGGCAAATAAAGTCCAAAGAGAAATACCCGGGCATATTTTTGCGGCAATTAGACATCCACATCGACTATCATCGGACATTCGTCAGTTTTGGCTGTGTCACGTGACGAGATTAGCCCAATCACATGTGAGAGAAATGTTTGATGGAATATTAGCAAGTTAGATGGGATTAATTTGAGATGGTTTAACTTCCCTTTCAATTTAAGGGGAGTGGAATTCATTCTTTGAGCGGCTGTAATTGGTTTATACCCGTTCATCTGATTTGTTGAGAATATAAGCAACTAGAGGTGACCAGTGACGTTTTCTAACACCTTCCACCACTCTTCTATAATATCATAACATCATTAGATAAACAGTAATGATACTGGCTCATCTTAAACTTATAAGTGCTCGGAACCGTTGCCAGCCGTGACCATCTGTTTGACTAATGTTTCGCCAAAGATCGCATTTTTATGGTTTACCTGCGCAAGGGGGCCCAAATGGATGTTGGGAGAACAAAAAGGTACTCTCCAAAGGGCTCGAGATGTACACATTCTCTCCTTATCGCGGCTCTCCCGACACCTTGCTGTTCATATATTTCCCAGTCGTTGAATTCCCTAAGACACAAGACTACAGACAGATTTACCTGAAATAATTTGTTATAAATGCCATATTAGATGTAGAAATCTCTTACATCGAACTGGTAGAATGAATTATGCTACGTGGTAAGACTCAGAGGCCTGAATTGTCTTTGATTGGCTGTTTTTCGCACGTAAGTTACAACCAATCAGGTTAACTATATAAATAGCTCTATGTAGAGCAAATAAAATAATTTTGTCAGTGTAAACGTTTTCGTGCAAAACATATCCTTATGCAACATATCCTTTTACTTCGACTTTCTTAGAGTACGTTTCATCTTGTTTCATCATCAACTACTCTCTGTCCGTCTTTCAGTTCCACAATCTTATCACAGTCTTCTATGGTTTTAAGTCGATGCGCGATTGTAATGACTGTTGAGTTTTTCAGTTTTTCTCGGATTGTTTCGTGTATGATTTGTTCAGTTTTGGGATCTACATGAGCAGTCGGCTCATCCAAAATGACTATTTCACTCTCCCGCAAGAGAACACGAGCGAGACAAATCAACTGTTTTTCTCCTGCACTTAGATTCATTCCTCTATATTTCAACGTGTAATCTAGCTTCCCTTGCAAGGTTTCCACCAATGGCTTTAGTTGCACGGCTTCTAGTGCATCCCATAATTCAGCATCACTGTGTTTTCCCAGTGGATCAAGATTCATTCTCAGGGACCCACTGAACACAACAGGGCTCTGGTTAAGGACAGAGATGCATTTCCGAGATTCCTGAACGTTCAAATTGTTTAGGTCTACTCCGTCTATTGTGATTTGCCCTTCAACTTGGGGCATGCGCAGAACAGCGGCTGTGATGCTTGATTTTCCAGCTCCGGTTCTACCCACAATTCCAATCTTAGACTGTCCATCAATATTTAAATTCAGATCCTCCAGTACTCTTGGTCCTTGTGGATAATATCTCAGCGATACCTTGGTAAAGTTTATTTCTCCGTTAGTTGGCCAATGTTCAGGTCGTTGTGTTTCTGTTTGGTATCCCGGCTCAGATTCAACTTCAGTAATTGCCATCACTCGCTCTACTGACGTCATCAAATTCTCGACTTCTGAGGACTGTTGAACAGACACCTGGGTGAAGTGAGAAGTTTCGAAGACGTAGACGAATGCGAGGCCAACCAGAGCTATAAAAAAGAGAATAGAAGTGTTAAACGTTTTAATGAATTAAAACGACCATTGTTTATCGTAAGTGTCCCAATAATTTAATAGGTTTATTAATAAGAAGGGCTAAATATCTGTTACCGTCTATTTCTCTTACTGACTTTCCAAAGTCACGGAATTTCAGTAGACATTTCTTGTCAACCTCGCAATTTCAATTCAACGTCAAAGACGAAGAAATATTTAAAACCGTCATCATGCAAGTCACATTGTAATTTCGAGGAGAAAAATCGAACTAAAATGATGCAATACGATTCCAGGCGGCCTTTTCTTGCCACACCGCTATAAGGTATGGAGTTATGTTCGTTGCAAACGTGAAGGCAATGCAAGGAAATAAAGAGTGCTTTGTAAATCATTTCCTTACCATTGTTGTGGGAATACAATGCAGCGAGCAAAGCTACAGCGCCTATTAACAGAGCAGAGAGGAGATCTAATCTTATCCCTAGCCATCGACTTCCAGCCAATACCATGTAATATGCACGGTTATGAGTATCTTGGTAACTGTAACGTAAGACAACACAATTAACATGAGCTGTTTTCATTCAGACAATTTTCTCTTGGAACTGTTAAAAACCGCACTTTTTGATTTTGTGCTTATAAAAATGTTGCACGGTAGTCATCTAAAGAAACACCATTTCTCTAGTCGTCGGGTGGATATTTGCTCTATAGAGCGTAGTCTATAAAATGGGTAGAACTTACGTATATTACTTACAAGAACTACACTTTTTGAGGAATCAGTAAAATCTGGTTTATGGTTCATTTGCTTGACTGCTTTTTGGTGCTAAAGATTTGTCTGTGAAGAGTTAAAGCTGAGAGTACTTTTCGTTGTTGGTCACCAAGCTAGAAATTAATCCACAACATCTCTCAACTGTTGTATCTATCAGAAGGGCTTAAAAAGGTGTTTTTGAAAGAAGCATTACCTGTACAAGAGGTCCGCAAACTCCTGCTGTCTTCCACGGGATCGAATGGTGTCCAATCCGTCCAGGGTTTCTGAAATCTGTGTCAACACAGGGCTGCGGCACACGCACTCTAGTCTTTTAAGTTCTCTTGATGTCCTCATAAAATACCTTGCAATGTAAACATACAATAAGATAATCGGTACAACAACTGCTGCGAGCCATGCATTGGCAACCAGGGGAACAAGTGCTGCAGTTAACACGAACAACACTATTTGGACTGCAAAGAGGAACGTCTTGGGCAAAACCTCATCCATACAGCCAATGTCTTTAGAAAGTCGATTGAGGATTCTTCCAATTGGATTTGAATCAAAAAACAGAACCGGTGCTTTTAGGATGGCTGTCACCATGTCGTTGTGAAGGTTTTCTGAAGATTTCAGAACCACCAGGAAGAACGCATAGGCGCGTAACGTTGTAAGAAGAACAGCCGTCGCGACACAACTGGCATAGATAACAAGATTGGTCTTGTCCGTTTGGTCTTCACGAGGGAGTGTCGTCAGAACAGACAGCCACAGGTCGGGTGAAACCATAACTCCTGCAATCAGAGAATACAACACTTAACAAGAAGTATAATCGCTTGGAATAATAATTAATCTGGGAACAATTCGTGATTGTTTGCCCATTCATGACTGTTTAAGCAACTACAGCATGCGGTAAACATGCTCTTGATGGAACAACGACCCGGCTTGAATAAAAACTGGAACCATGTTTGGTATGCGGGTATTCATGTGCAAAACAAGCAATTCGTTTCCCAGTCGTTCCTCAAATAGTCTTGATGCACACAAGAATGACTTCAAGAACCCCATTAGCTTAAAACTGACATTTTCGGAATATGGCTCTTTGCCAATCCTTTCGGCTATCACCCATTAGAAACTGATTTTGGAATCGATGCCTTTTTGAGTAAAGATGAACTCGAAACAAAACAATTATGATTTTAGCGTCTTCTAGGAGCTTTCCTAAAACTTTTTGATTGGTAACCTGATCACTTAAATGAGTGTTCGTCAGGGTGCCAAGATTTGGCTTTTCAATAGTATCATTGATACAAACCGTTCTTCGTGACTTACCTTGAGAGAGAAGGAAGACGAGAAGCAAGCCAACCAAAGCTATGGGATGCACTCCTGCAGTTAGGTAATCCCAATACAGCTTGTAGGACACTGCTCCGATCTTACGATTCTCGTCTGGAATCTCCATACTTTTGATCGTCTTGTCATCAGAGCAATGCACTTTAGTACTTGGCATTTGTTCATGGAACACTTTTGATTCCTGAGCTACGCTGTTTAGGGGTTCTAGTATTTCTTTTAGTGCTTCCCTTTCATTTAGTTCCATAAATGTCCCTTTATCGATTACTAAGCCGCTGTGCAAGACAATCACTTGATCTGCAAGTTTCATGTGTGACTCTTGGTGAGAAACCATCAAACGAACTTTGTTTGACAATAAGCCAAGTATGCAATGTTTAAAGATGTGATTGCTGACATTCATGTCGAGTGCGACGAGTGGATTGTCCAACAGGTAAATGTCACAGTCGGCATACACTGCGCGTGCCAAACTGATGCGAACCTGCTGACCACCGCTCAGCGTGTCGCCTCGTTCTCCAACAATAACCTGGTCCTTCTCAGGAAATCCTTCAATGTCTTCTTCTAAAGCGCAAGCTCTGATGGTTTGGATGTACTTGTCAAAATCAAATGGCCGACCGAAAAGAATGTTCTCCCTCACTGTTCCAGAGAAAACCCAAGGCATCTGTGGCACGTAGGCGACGGTACCACTGCACTGCAGATTTCCTTCAGTAACTGGCATCTCACCAGCCATAACTGACAGTAAGGTTGATTTTCCACTTCCAACTGGACCAGTTATGACAACAAAGTTTTCATCTTTCGCTTCAAAGCTGAATGATTTCACTAGGGATATGTTTTCAGTATCCACTTTGCAAGTCACATTGGTTAACTTGATACTTATTTTTCTTTTTTCCTGCAATTGCCCTTTCTCTATAACTCGCAGTTTGTCCGTTTGGCTTGGAACCAGATTCGACGTCGTCATTCCAACAGGGGGATGTTGGTTTTTGTTATGTGGAATATCTACAAACTTGGTTACGATGGCGCTTTTCCACAAGGACTCGTGTAGATACGTGAAGTGACACTTGATATTTACCTTGCCATTTTGAAATCCTTTCCTCTTAACCACTGACTTGCCATCAACATTGGTAAAGAGTTTCGCATCAGTTATACCATGAAGGTTTGGCAACAACAAGAATTCCTGTATTCTATCAAATGAGACGTATGCCTCGTATACAAACTGTGATCCTTCTCCTATAGATCTCAGCGCACTGTTTCGAAGGACATTGGTAATTGACAGCAGTGTAAAAACTACGAACGGCGTTAAATGATATCCACTGAAGGCAAGCGTCAAAATAGAAATAAAAGTGGCAACAAGTCCTGAAGAATACATCAGAGATATTGCACATGACAAAAGTATGCTCCTACGACGAATTACTCTCATCTCATCACTGCAAATAAGGAAACAGAAAACACTTTATTATTATCAGATATTTACTGCTATTTGCGACTTGCTAGAAAGGACCAGTCCTTAAAAACTGATGTACGGCAATACGGAACATGCTGAGCTTTTATCTGGGACAGCAATTTTGGAAGAGGGTCGAAGAAAGTAGCCAGTCATTTGTTTTCTTTTAAAATTTTACCCCGTCCTGATAACAAAGTTTTGTTAAATTTTAAAACTCTAAGTGCAAAATACTGGACTACTATGAAGTGTGTACCGATGTAACCCAGTTTTCAGGGATTCTCGAACAATCTGGCCAACAAACGTTTTGTTTCAGGTTACTGGCAAACAGGTGTAAAACCAACGCCATTCGTGACTGTGCGTAAATTCCTGACTTGTTCCACGTGTACCACCTTTGTACCACGAGTTTGTAATCAATGATTGATGGCACTGTTGATATTTGTACTATATTTTGTGGCAAGTAAATTGTTGACTATTATATGGGTTTTGCTTGGGTCCATTGTGGATTGCAGAGATGGGATTGCCTTGGTCTTATAAAATTTAACATAACAGATACACAGTCTTGTTCCACGAACCTTCTAGTCTCCTTGATCTTATCTCTAAAGAACCACTCCCACGCATGCGTCTTCACTTCACGTATTCCAGCCACTATCTCGGTCATGAGATTTATTCGCCGGTCGGATATGACAGCGGTCTTCAGTCGAAGCTTTCCAGACAGGTACGACAGAAAGCCACCAAATGGGACGAGAAGAAACAAAAAGATGATTCCAATGAGCGGCTGCCAGCCAATGAAGAACCATAACAACGGAACAGCTACACAGACATCAAAGATGGCGACAAGGAGGCGAAAGAACTGCCTGGCAGCTTGTTCCATTCTTTGAACATCGTTGGATACTAGATCAATCACGTGACCCTTTGTAAACTCATTGAGCGTGTGTTGACCAAGGAGCAGGATCTACAGAAAACCAGTCGAGTAAAATTGATCAGGTCTTTGGAAATGATAGCTATTATTATTATTAGACGTGCCACATATTCAGGCAAAGGACAATTAGCTTGCCAAATAAAACTAGAACAAAGAGAATTAGAACACTACCAAACAGCTATAGGTTATCTTCACACGAGACTATGCTGGGTCAGGATTTTAGATAGACTTGAGCTTATTTGCTGTCTATTTATTACTCATTATTTCAGTCAAGAAAATCCTTTAATTAATCCCCCGTCACTTTCTACCCCATCAAAAACATCTTAAAACTCTTAAAGCAATTCCTAAACGTTTGTCGACGCTTTCGCCACACACTTATGACGATATATATATTGTTTGGATTTCGAGAGGTTGCATCATAATGATAATGAGAGAATACTGTGCTGAGATAAAAGGCTTGATAGCGAGGTCTAGAGGGCAGACAAACCAAAAACAAAAAGAAATCAGTTTCCTTTGCGGTCTTTGTGTATGTCCCCTATGCCTCTCTACTAAAGACATTCACGTCAAATCCCACTTAATTAAAATGTGGCTAAACCCAACCCTTACAAAACCAGTTCTTCAAGTGTCGGCATATTTTCATCTTCTGTAATGCGTTTATGGTCTTGTAAAACTCTCTCAGCAGTCTTCCAGACCGCATCCATTGACTCTCTCGATAGAGTCACCGAGCACATTCTGTTCAGGCTATTTTAGAATCAGCCGGAAAACATGGAATGAGTGGTTACCGCCTCGTTCTGTTGGAATACCTATCCTATTTTACTGGATGAAACGAGTTAGTTTTCTACTTATTCTTCTCTCAATGGAAGAATAAACAAAATACAGTTTTAAAAGCTTTTATTGGAAATCATGTTGACAGCATAGAGGTAGGTTTGTAATATTTTATCAGGACGCATGGCGCATCAATTACCGGATAAGAAACGTATCACGCCTTCCGCGCATCCTTAGGTTCGTACAAGGTTACCATGTGGCACAATGGCCAAATTTTGCGGGTTCTAATTTTTTTTTTCAATTTTTGCCGGCTTCTTTTCCCGATCAACCAAAGAAAACATCCGCAAACTTTTTCCTATAAAAAAAAAATCACTTCAGTTTTAATACGGAAAAAAAACAGAACCGGAAAAGGAAAAAGACCATTCAGAGAGACCACTCGATAGACACATGTTTTTACAATATCCATCAAGCACTGCAATGTTATCACCGTAGTACTTTGTTATCAGACAAAGTTAACGTGTTTTACAAATGTACGGTGACGTTGTGTTTCCTCTATTCTGACTCTTTTCAAAGGAAACAATATTACATTGTATTACGGCGGTGCTGTAATTTCAGTTGTACATGACTTGCAAAAAATTACAAAAATTTATTCCCCAAACGGAAAAGCTTCTCTTGCCCAACAGAAAGCCTACATCCCGCAAAATGCAAAAAATATGACCAGTCTGTAAAATAAAGAGCCACAAAAATGTTCGTCCCATGCGGTATTTACGATCTAGAATTATGATAATACTTTATTTTCGAGTCTATTGCACCGGCACTCTGACGCCCAGGGTCACTGCAGCAGTACCAATGATTTTTAATAAGGTTAATCAACTTCCAAGAAGAAACTATTTTAACTTCTCCGGAGAGCAGACTTAAGAAAAAAGAAAGACTTTGTAAGTAAGTTGGTCATGTTTAAACCAAAATTAAAATTCTCCCTTTTGAAAATTATTTTCTCTATAAACTGGAGAAAGGATTGCTAGAACAGTTCCCAAAGAATATGACCAAGCAAATGCACTCCCAATCCAATTAAGACGACTAATGGAAGGGTTAGTGTGAATTAACCCTCATACCGCTAGTCATTTTGCCTGCCAACCTTAATCTCCTACAATAATTGGATAAAGCTAAGGTATGAGGGTAATATCTATTTAATTTGTAAGAATTCAAATCGATGGAATTGAAGAAATCTTTCTGAAAAAAGAAAGAGAACCCAGCACCAGTTGATAACGCACTAACCTTTCTGAAGATGACACCTTTAAGGGAGGCCTTCATTCGCATCCCAATCACGTACAGTTTAAAGCTGCTGTGATGTACAGCAATACTCTTCATCAACACAATCAACAGCATCAATGCAGCATAGCCACAGAGCAAGCCTCGCCCTGGCGTGTCGGACATAAGTGTGGAAATGAACACTCCCAGGAAAAAGGGCCGAAGAAATCGACCCACTGAGTCCAACAGTCCGGCAAAAGAAATTATACACAGGTCTTTGCAGGACAGAACTTTCATTGCACTTTTCCATAGTCTTGGTTCTTTCCCTGTACGGCTGCATTCATCCAGATCTTTACTCCACTGCCACTGCAGCTTGTTCGTCAGTAGTGACGTTTTGTCTTCCTCGTGCAAAGGCCAGAAGTCGGATTGTTGCAAGGGGCGCTGGTTTCCAGTCTTAAACAAGTCGTTTGTCCACCAAAAGAGAAGAAAGGAGATCAAGTTGGCTCTTCTCTGTGGATGTGTGGGGCCACCATGGTCTCGTTCTGCGTTCATAACTGCAAAAAAACAGGGAACCTTAAGGTAGAAAGCAGTGAACAAGAATTCTAATGTTAGCACCTTTATTAACACTCGTGACACAACTTTTTTTAGAATTGAATCGTATTACATTGACGTCTGCGAGATACGATAAAGCAGTGGTGAAATGTGAACATAATATATTATTCCACTTAAAAGAAATTCAGAGCAGACTTTTGCCGACATAGTTTTCTACTCAATTCAAAACGGCTGTAATACTCACTGGAAAAAAATTAAACATTTGAAACGAATCACTCAGGCGTTAATTAGAAAAACAAAGCAACTTTTCGCTGGAGTGAGACATTAGTTAAATCGCTGAAACAAGCATTTTGTAGCCAAAGTGGTAAAACTATTAGATGTAATTCGAAAACGATATAGCGATAAATTAATTTAAAAAACATCCACCAAATATGTTTCGAAAATAGTTGGAAAACCAACGGATGGCTAGCTTGACTAACTTGAATGAATGACACTTCCGTCGTATAAAGTATGTTATAAACAGACTAAGATCCGGAGAACTTTTTTCAATTAACGCAGCACATTAGTTATGTTTTATTATCAGTAATGATACGGGTAATGAAATACCATTCATATAAAATCGCCGAAAACCATCTTGATTTAGTTTAACTGTGAATTAAGGCATCAATGAGTGGTTCAGTAGCTATGAAGTAAAACAAAAGCTATAAATGTTTCCAAGCATGTAAGAGTTTTGCGTATAGCCGTGAGATTTCCCAATAAAAATGAGAGCTTTCATATTAATTTGTCACAAAATTCCTCTTTGCTCATTTCAGAATTTCCGCTGACAAGATTTGATCAAAACACAACCACAAAATGACAAACGGTATTGTCCCCAAGAGCGATATTTCCGTTGAAAATGACGACTTGAGCAGGTGACAGACAGGGTCAATCACACATGAAATGCCGACAAATAAACCATCTCAAATGCCATGACGGAAACCCAGGCAAGTTTACAGTGCAACTGTCAAAATTAAAACCGGTTAAGAAAGGAAGTTTTAAAATATTTCTACTCCGAGTAGATAAATATACGAGTATTACCACAACATACTATAAAAGGTACTTATAGACTGAGATCAAGGTCCGTTCAAGGATATCTTTATTTAGCCAAGTGCATGTGATAACTGATAGTGACCGAGAGTCAAACATTTTGCCGTCTGGCTCGACCAGTCAACATGTAATTTATCTTAGCTTATCTTATGCCTCTGTAGCGACCTTAATAAACTGCAAAATCGTGAAAAGTCTTTGTTAATATTTAAAACAGATAAATACAGCACAGTTTGAGTTAAGCTTACACTGATATAAATAACTGCTGTTGGCATGTCCTGGCAAAGCCGGAATGCGTTTCGCTTATAATTAAAGATTTGCCATGAGAAGAGCAAGTCTATCTACCTCAGGAGGAGTACTTCATTTTTATCTTAATCTCAAAATCAAAACACAACCCGGATTGAGTGTAGCAGGGAAGTCTTTTACCGATCTTACCTGAGAACTTCTGTCTGCTATCGGCTTGGAGCAAATTCAAATGTAACTTTAGAAAAGCGATCAATTTTATGTTTCACCTCCAAAGATGTAATAGGATTTGTTTAATCATATAACAACGCGGTCCGTTTTCTATAGTAAACCATAAAAAAGACCGCGAATAGCATTAAGTATCAACCAATCAGATGCCTTTTGAGACATGTTACCGTCAAGCAAGCGCGGGAAATCACACCTGACTCAAACCCTGATTGGTTGTGAGTTTTGCATGTGATTGATGAATTGCTTTGTGATTGGATAAAGAGCGTGAGCCACGTCGACTCCAGAAAACCCCGAGATACATTAGAAAACGTCTCTAGTAAGTTTAGCATCCTGAAGTCTTCCACGAATGAGCTAAAGTAAAATGTCGCCCTTAATAAGAACACATTCGTTATTAGAATCACCTCATGTACTTTTAGCGCCACTATTTTTGTTTATGTGTCGACTAACTCAGCTCTAATTCCAACCTTTGAAATAAAGTCAACGCAAAACGAAAATTTCAGAAACGAAACCTGACTTGCACTGATTAAAACGCAAAGTTAGTAATCGATAATCTATCAAGCGAAGATCTTACTCATTGAAGATGATCAACAATAAATACTTGTGTATTGTGGCGTGCTTGAAGAGTAACTGAGGAAACCAGATTAAGTTTACCCTCCTTAGCTATTTCCTGCCCAAATATTTATACTAGGATGTAAAGTTTACGCTGGGCTGCAATGACGATCTGTACAGATATAATAGCCTCATCCAGGCGTTCAGTTGGCTGATGCGCAGCGCGAAAAACGGCCGCGCTTCTTCCCTATTTTTTCGCTCGCCGTTTTTCGCGCTGCGTCCCAACTAACTGAACGTCTGGAAGATGGTAATCGTATAATAAAAGCTGGCTCTGTAACTCAGTGAAGAAGTTAAGACGCAGTAACACTATGCTATCTTGTAGCACTGATTGCCTTGTAATTTTGTTGCGAAACAAATTGCACGCGACATTAATGGCTGGCGTAACTTCCGGCCTCACATGAACACAGTGCAGCATTTTCTTTGCAGCAAGCATTGTACGAAGTAGAATAGAGTATACTCTACGCCATGAAATGCTTTAACAAAAACAATGCGCGACATTTTTCCATTTCAGCGGGTGTTACACTAATTTGTCTTGCGCACGAAAACATTTCGAGACAAACCGCACAGATCGAGTAAAATCGCCTCAAGGTGTTTCTGGTGTTTTTTTTGTTTTGTTTTGTTTTTTTTCATGTTGGTAAGCCAGTCGTAAAACTTATTAGCCTCAGAAAGCTATCCGATCTCTACCCCGCTAATTTCAATTTATTGAAGGTCTATGGAGAAATCATGGAAAATAGGCATTTCTCTAAACAAGAAGAAGGTTACTTTGACGCACACTTTGACTACTTGTGACGAAACTGACAACTCATACTGGTCCATACTTTGTAAGGTATCGAAGATATGCTTTGACCTTCTTTCAAGGCTGGCGTTTTCCCTTAGTTTGACTGAGAGCAAATGTATTTTTTCGTCCAGTCTTCTTGACTATTGCTCAAGGATAGCTGGAAACACAAGTAACCAAGATGTCGCCGTATTGCGCCGTATTACCCTTGAACGATGTACATTGAATTGGCAAATTGACATTGATTCAAAGGAAATGCATGGGAGACGAAGTGATACTAAAACACCGATGAAAAATAAACAAAATGAAACACATGGCTACAACCGCACAGACCACTGTGGAACGAAGGCTTAATTAATTAGTGACTCGTGATCTGTTCAAGTGAATTTGAATTAGGAAGCATCTGCCGTTTAACTGTTATTTTGCGGCCGGCTAATTAAACTTGTATTTGCCTGAGGGCGCGTGCCGATACAAGTACGTGCCTTATTAGATATGCCGGTTTATTAACATTCCTGCTAAAATTTTGTCTACCGGTTGTTTTAAAACAGGTTTTTTTTTTCGTCATAAGTAAAATGGATCACATATGTTGACATTTATCAAAAGAAAAATGTAAAAGTAACAAAGTTTGAGAAATCACCACTCCATAGTAGGCAGTAACCTTAACTTTAAAAAAAGTCGATTGGCTTTATAACATTTGTAAACAGTCTCGTGTCACCATACAATAAATTAATATACATGCATATGTATCAAATATTTGACCTGAGTGTTTCACAAGATTTGCCTTTAGCAAATGTGAATAATCTAAAACAACCCCCTTGCCAGAAGCAAGGGATTTCATTYAAGAGTTCTTAAGTCAAGAAAGAAGCCTAAAAGAGTAAATATTTACCTTGAAGTTTGTCGTAATGCAGCGCAAATTTTGCTTGTCAAGCGCAGCCGGTTGGCACGATCACTTCTGAAAGCAGTCAGCCCTAACATGAACGGACTTATTGGGTCACTATATTTAATTGAAATCCACCTACACGAAAATGTATGGTTATTGCTTTCATTGTTTTATCGACTAATTAATGACTGGGTGGAACTTGTAAGAATACATGGGTAGCGGCAATTATTAGAGGACCTTCGAGGGGACCTAAAATTACACACCGCAATTTTAAGCGAATTCAAATTTTAAGATGCACAAAATTTGAACATGCGTTCAATTGACACGTACAGGAACAGTAAAATAGCAGATAAAAAGAGGTTTTATGGATGTGACATCTTAAAATATTGTGTCATCTATTGTTCCAATTTTTTTCTTTCGCAATCCTACTACTCAATTTAGCACGGCCGTAGATCTTACCCAGGCAATATACAGACATACATATAAGAATAAAATGCTTCTTTTATATTGATTTATTTTTGTTAATGCATAGCCTCTTACGGGAATTTAAAATAAATAAATAACTTCCAAATTCGGTGTTACCAAGGCAGGAGCCTCGATTCGCCTGTTAATAGCTACGACCCTGAACTGTTCTTAAATATCCTTGCCCCTTTCGCTTATCACCTTCTGTGGGTCCTTTCTCTGCTATGAAAACTCGGCTCTGTACTATTTTTGAGATCCTCGCTCAGTAAATTTAATGGAGTTTTTAACATGGCGAGGCTGGTTTAGTATATCGTGACCAGCTTCCCGTTGAAATGACCAAAATACAAACAAACTAAGAGGTCAGGAAATTATACTTGAAGCAGGAATGTTGCGTGTTCATTTATTCGGTTTTTACCGCCTGTACAATACACCCACTGACTAATGAATATCAAAAGATAGGCTGAACGACGGCAAACGACATGCTATGACCTGCATCGATCACAAGGCAATTTAGTCAAACGCACAAAAAAAGTGAACAAACTGAGGGCGGGTTAATATCATGGACATATGAGCTACTTGGCTAAGAAAATAAAAATTAACCGTCAGTCTTTGTTGAGATATTTGGTGCAGAAATTACTCCTGCAGTAATACGAGAAAACCCGCCTAACTGACTCGGAGCTAGAAAGTGCCGCGAATTCGCAAAGAGAGCTAAAAAATATCATAGTTAGAGCTCGGAAATCAAAAGATTACGAGGTTCGTCTGTGAAAATAGCTTACTAAATAAATTGTGATTAATATTTTTGTGTTAATCGGTCAGACACGATGACTTATATTTTAAGGTAAAAAATCGTCGAAACTATTACAAGCCACAGAGCTAATACAACTGCCTTCCATGTACTGTATGTGAAATGCTCGTTCATTACCTGCTATGCCTAATTGCCCAGTTCCTTATAATCATGAGACCCTCTTCTAAGGGTATTTGCACGGTTTTTATTTCTCAAAAAAAAACTTAACCATTTTCTCAGTTGACATTTGGCCACTAACACATTATTTCAAAGTGGAGAATGATCATGGCAGTAAATTTTCCAATTTAAGTAATTGGAAAGAAGAAGCCTGAAAAAAAAAATCACGGTTTCAACAGGATCCGAACCCGTGACCTCCGCGATGGCGGTGCGATGCTCTACCAACTGAGCTATAAAGCCACACATTGGGAGCGAGGTCACATCATTTCACTCCTCACGGGAAGATATGAACTCAATTAATTGACCTTGCTCCCAATCTATGGCTTCATAGCTCACCTGGCAGTGCATCACACCGGTATCGCGGAGGTCACGGGTTCGAATCCCGTTGAAGCCCTGATTTTTTTCAGGCTTCTTCTTTCCAGTTGCTTAAATTGGAAAATT